ATGCCATGGAAATGTTCAGTGTACTTTATTTAATAGATCGGTTCAGTTTTCCCTTTTAGTGTAGATTAGAAACTTTCTCACCACTGCTGTTTTATATAAGCTGGTTTTAAAAAAGAAACATCTGTGTTATACTATCACTTCATTAGGACAAAGGTTTTACTTAAATACCTTGCAAATAAATTATGGTCATTATAGAACTTAGATTTACAGGAATCTATGCAAACCAAGTTATCTTCTGTGACCATTTTTTTTTTTGGTGTACTCTGAATATGCTTTTAAAATGATAAAACTTTTTCCTAACTTTTTTTACCTCCGACAGACAAGTAAGCATTAGGTTCTGGAAAGAGAAAGCTTGAATTATTGTAGAAAAATAATTATATGGTCATTTCTTTTTGTTAAGTGCCATAGAACTGGACCTGACTCATAGTTGACCCTCTAGCAGATTTTCAGAGGCTGTAAATCCCAAGAAAAGAGATTGCTCATCTTTCTCCCAGAGAGTGGCTGGTGCATTTGACCTGGTTGATTTTGGGTGGGCAGCACATATGCTTACTCAGTAGGCCATCAAAGGTCCCTATCTTATCTGTATTTTAACTAATATTCCACTTAAAGTAATTAAATCTATACTGTGTACAAGGCACTTGGCTATGAGAAGGATAGAAACAGACCTGATTGTGTCATGCTTCTTGCATAAAAAAAAAAAATTCTCAGTGATACACCATGTGCTTTAAGAGTTTAAAGGATAAATAATTCAATTTATTCCAAGATGATATTTGAAAGCTGGGATAAAGGAATGCCTACTGTCAAATGTTTTTTTTCTAGAATAAGCAATTTCTGATTTTCAATACTATTTTGTCTAGCTTTACAGTAATTCAAATTTGTATATAGTAAAAGTTGTGCTGGTAGTAGAATCTCTAAAATTTGGAGGACTAAAATGTGTTATGTTGGAATTTGGATAATAAAATATATTAATCCTTCCTAACTTGGGATACGTTGTTGTTGTTATGTGCCACTGAGTTGTCTATGACTCATAGTGACCCTATAAACAATATTTCTGAATTTTGCCTTATCCGGAGCCAATCTCACTCTCTCACACACCTGCCCTCATTACCACAATCACTGTGGCAATCCCTCCCATCCAGGGGTGATGCTGTATATAGATTATTAACACTTCATGCTGTATGCAGGCTCCAAACAAGACCCAAATGCACATGCAGATACGTCTTCTTTCCCATATTTGCTCGGCTGTATTCATTGGTCTCGTGACTTTTCAAAAAGGAATTACTTGTTATTTGAAGGAATCTTTGATTAAATTCTTCCTTATAGGCCTACAGAACCTGACACTAACCGTGCTCCTACATGTCTCTCCTCATGCTGCAAAAAGATGGACAAATCATTACGGCTTTCTTTTTCTGATTGAGAATATCAGCTCAAGCATGCATGCCCTTTTCTGAGAATATTCTTTGTAATATGTGTAACACTTACCTAAATCCTGTGAGAAATCTAGACAAAGAACAGGCTACTAAATAAGTTTGAAATGAGATAATGAGGTTATGATGGGAAGTAATTACTGTCAGGTGCATCTGGCCTAGGTGTGCTGATAATAGTGAACTAAAGGACTCTTCTATTTAAAGCAGATTCTCAGTTATTGGAAAACACTTTCTTTATTTGTTTCTCCCAAAATGGATAGCTAATTTTCCTTGGAGGCATGTAAAAGAATTTTTTCATAGTTAGAAAGTAATAACTGAAAAATATATTGTTCAAGTAAATAACAAAGAGTTTAAAAATATTTTTATATTTTGTCTTAAAGTGCCTTGAAGTTTGGAAATGTCTGCATTACTGTTTAAAGAACTAAAAATCAACTTATATGAGGATTAATCTGTGATTTAGGCACTTGCTAATTCAGTAGCAAGTAAAATAGACATTTCCAACAGATAGTCTCTTAAGAAGAAATCAGTTGATCAATGATGGATAATTTTCTGTGATCATTTCCTCCTTTCCCACGTACCCACGTGAATCTCAGATCATTGTGACAAAATCCTCCTCTGCTTCTCCTGTATCTGGTACCAGCCAAGAAATGTTTGACTCTGTCAGGAACTTGTTCATTCTGGATGATGTGAGTGGTCATCCTTGCTGATGCACAGACCTCACACTCAAATGAACAAGGGATCAGAAGCAAAGGGACTCTTACTGCACAATTAAAGAATTTCTTCAATGCATATTTACTAATCTACAGTAAGCAAGTCCCAGTGGTTCCTCATCTCTGGACTTTGGTTTTAACTCCACCTCAGGTTGGGTGTGTAGACCCTTCTCCCTGCAATTTGTTGTTATTATGTACTGTTGAGTTGGAATCAACTCATAGCTGACCTGCCAGTGGATTTTCAGAGGCAGTAAATTGCATGGGAGGAGTTTGCCCATCTTTTCATATAGTGCAGCCTGTGGATTTGAACCACTTCCTTTTGGGTCAGTTGTGAAATTCTTTGCCACTAGGCCACCGTCTTGGAAGAGTCTGACTAGGACTCTTGATGCTTCTTCACTCATGCTCTCTTCAATGCATATTAATTTATTGAGAAAATGTACTTAGACTGTCCTCTTTACACCACCTTTTCTGACCATCTCTCTGCTTCATGGCTTGAATATGGAAGCTTAAGTTTGGCCAATACACTGACAAGCATGACACAAGTGTAATAATACTTTTAATCTGAGAAGCAAGTATTATTGACCAGAGGGGCCAAAATGATAGTGTGATGAGAAATATAATGACAACATTTAGATCTACCTTGATGGGAAATACAATGACAAAATTTATTAAGCTAAGTAAAATCTCCTATAAACATTTTACACTGATGCACTGTTCAAAGAAATAGTTACTGTTGTGGCTTCTTGAAAGGAAGCTTCAAAGAGAGTGGAGTTATTATAGAGGAAAGACAACCCTTTGTCTTATGGGTTCAGGACAAAAGAGAGTGACCTTCAATGAGATCAGTTGACACAGTGATGGCAATCATTGGCTCAAATGTAACAATGGTCCTGAGGAAGACACAACACCAGGAGGTTTTTCATTCTGTTATTGCATAAGATTATGATTCGGAATATACTAGACAGCACCCAATGACTAGGGCAGGCTGTCCCTGAATAGTATCAATGGTTAACATGCTTGGTTGATTACTAAAGAGATCCAGGTTTGAACCCATTTAGAGGCATGACAGAAAGCAATGTACTTAAAAAAAATCAGTCATTTAAAACCTTATGATAAAACCATCATTCTCCTCACCTATGAATTCTCTACAAGTCAGAATTTACTTCATTGCTGCTTCTCTTGAGAAAGCAGCACAACCCTTGTCTACTTTGGAGCTTTAAAGTTTCTGATAATGCTTTGGTTCTTTTCTTTTAAATGAAATTGAACTTCTACAACTAAGTATCCTGTTGCCTTAGTTGCTATAACCTTGACTGAAAGCAATTCTACGTACAACAGAACAGCATACTGCCCCATCCCTTGCTACCCTCAGTCACTGCTGTGTTTATAATTGTAGCCATTGTAACAATTCACATCCTTGAAGGTTCTTGCTCTTTTACATTGACCTTTTATCAAACATGATATCTTTTCCCAGGGTCTGGCTCCTCCCAATAATATACCCCAAGTACATGACGCAGAATTTTGTCATCCTTCACCAAAAACCAACCGATGTCTATTCAATTCCAACTCATAGTGACCCTTCGTCAGATTTTCAAGTCTGTAAGTTTGCTATGGGATCAGCTTGTTCATCATTCTCCCTTGAAGTGTCCGGTAGATTCAAACTGTCCACCTTTTGCTTAGCAACCACTAGGAGTCCTGTGTTGTATATAAGGCACAGAGAATTAACAAAAACACACATGTAACTCTGTTATTTGTCAGAATTCCATGTCACTGTACTCTCAGTTATCCACTCAGGTCCTTCTAAGGCTTCAGGGACCTGATCCTTTGCCACTGATGGCCTTTTTCAGAGCAGCTTTGACATCTTTATTTCTAAGAGTGTAGATGAGAGGATTGAGCAAGGGGGTGATAAAGGTGTAGATGAGGGCAAATTGGCGATCTTCATCCACTGAGGAACTGGACTGGGGACGCAGGTAGACCAGGGCACAGCAGCCATACTGCAGCAAGACGACGGTGAGGTGCGAGGAGCAGGTGGAGAAGGCGCGTTTGCGACCCTCTGCAGAGCGGATGCGCAGGATGGCCAGCGTGATGAACGAGTAGGACACAGAGATGAGGACGAAGGGCACGGTCAGCACCAGGATGCTCACCACGTAGAGGACGGCCTGGTGCACGTGGATGTCCGCACAGGCCAGGCGCAGGACTGGAGGGACGTCACACAGGAAGTGGTTGATCTCCCTGCGGCGCCCACAGAAGGGCAGCGTGAAGATGAGGGCGGTGAGCTGCAAGGAGAGGAAGAGGGCCAGGCCCAGGGCCCCAGTCACCATCTGGACGCACAGCTTCTGGGTCATGATGAGGGTGTAGTGCAGGGGGTGGCAGATGGCCACGTAGCGGTCATAAGCCATGATTGCCAGGAGGAAACAGTCAGCACCACCAAGAGTGAGGAAAAAGAACATTTGAGCGGCGCAGCCAGCCAAGGGGATGGGCTTCTGGGCCCCAAAAATGTTGGAGAGCATCAAAGGCACCACGTCGGTGGTGTAGCAGATCTCTACAAAGGACAGGTTGGACAGGAAGAAGTACATGGGGGTGTGGAGAGAGCTCAGCGTGCACACCACCCAGATGATGGCCGTGTTTCCACAAAGGATCATCAAGTAGAGAAGGAGGAACAGAAGGAAGAGGAGGGCTTGGATTTCTGGCACCGTGGAGAACACGCGGAATACAAACTCCGTGGGGCCGGACTGGTTGAAGACAGGATCCCAGGCAATCATGGCTCCTGCAAAAGAATAAATAGAACTATTTGCTGAGATGCTCAGTTGCCTAAATGAAAGGAAGGATTACAAGTTTTGTTCCTTATGTGGGAATTGTGTAGTTGTTATCAAGATTTTTGGATCTTAATAAAGGCTATGGCATCATTTTTCTTAGACGTCTCTTGTGTGACATCTTCTGAAAAACAGAAACAAGCAAACAAAAGATATGTCCTTTAAGGTCAACACTTACAATATAAATCCACACTGGCTAGTTCTTTACTTCTGTTCATTATTTATGGTGGTAAAATTGAAGGTAAATGCGTTTGTACAGATTAAAAATTCGAGTAAATAATCCACATTGATCTGCGTGCTTTGGTTGCATTGATCAAGCAAACTCTCATTCCAATCATATTCTCGCATTGACTGCTTATTCGTTTTTCTCCACTTGCCTATTTCCTTTACTCTTTCATCTCTTTATATTTCAGTATTTAAGTTCGAGCTCTCATACAGACTGACATGAAATAGCAAGTGAGAGTGTAGATACCCTAAACTTAATGTGGAAGAAATTAAAATTTCTCTCTAAGAAAACACAAAACTTAAATACAAAACAAATAAAAAAGCCCCAACAAAGTCATTGCTACTACTCTGAACCAGCGCCTAGCTGGCCCGCCAGCGGGTTTCCGTGGCTGTAAATCATATGGGAGGAGATTGTTTTTTCTTTCTCCTGAGGAACTGCTGTTGGATTTGAACCACCAGAGAGGTGTGTTTTGGATTTGCTTTTAGTGTAACTTCATCTAGACTATGTAACTGCAGCACCTTGTAGAGAGAGGAAAGGGTTAAAACCTGAACACACACACACACACACACACACACACTTTCCCCCTCTAAGAGGTGTTGCTGAAGTTGTTGTTGTTGAGTCCTGTCAAGTTGGAACCAATCCATAGTTGACCCTGCAGTGGGTATTCAGGAGCAGTTAGTTGCAAGGGAGGACATTGCCCATCCTTCTCCCCTGGTTGCTAAAATCAGGGTTAAAATTCTGCATTGCTTTTGTTGTGTATTTTTGAGTCAGAAACAATTCATAGCTGAGACCCCCCCAGAAATGTTTATCCATCTACAAAAACAGACTTCTGGCAAGTTTGTCTCTATAATGCTACAAATATATGTTTGAGAAAAAAAATCTAGAATATGATGAATTACTACCTAAAATATTTTAAGGAAAACAGATTTTGACCGAGTCAAATGTTTAGTCAAGATATTATCTCTGTATAAGGATCAAAAAGAACTAAAAAACTGTTTTATAAGACTCTGCAATGATAGTATCCAGATCATATTCTGAAGACAGTGGCTAAAAATTGTCTATTAGGAAAACAATTGATACATAATTAAATATTTGGAATTTTGGAGTTAAAAAAATAGTGAATTGAGGTAAAACACCATTGTCTTGTGGGGAGGGATATAAGCTAACGAGGGCAGCGGGCATGAGTGGACAAATTGGGAGGGTGGAAGGAACAGGCAAGATGCAATGGCAACTTGATGCGATGGAGTGATAAAAGGCATCGGTAAGTAATAAATAAGAATATAAAGCACAATGTGTATGAATTTAAAATGCAATGCACATGAATAAATAATTTAAATATAATTCTTGAGATGTATTATGTAAAATCACTTTAAATCATAACTGGAGTATTAATCTCAAAAGATATTAAAAAAACAAACAATGGCTTAAAAAATGTGAGAAACATAAAGCAAAACAAAACAAAACACAGAACACAAAAAACCTACTAATAGCTTCTAAGGGTAAAATGAATGGCTGTATAAATGATGTTGTTTTTATGTGGATAATTAGAGACAATATTTTTTATATTATTTGGCACTTAATCACTTGTGCAAAGAGAGTACTTTTTAAATGACTAAAAAAGAGAAGAAAATAATGGTTTAAAAGAGAAGAAAGAAAGCAAAATTAGATAAAATGCACAGAATGAAAATATTTTAACAAAATGTTCTCAGACACCAGATGAAGCATATTATTTAGGGCATACATGTGAGTTGGCATATGTTTTATAAACTATAAATATGTGGAACGTGATTCAAGCATGAGAGATGCATTTAAGAAGTAAAACATCTGGCAGCATAGATTATCATCCCTTCACTTCAGTACTTTTCCTGAAAGTTCTAAAATCTTAAATTATGCTCTATAGGGACTTGGGCTGCTAATTCAAAGGCCACACCTTTCTGGTGATTCACTTCTCCCCATTGGAGAAAGATGGGAAATCTCCTCTTTTGTGAGTTACATACAGCCTTGAAAACCCACTGGAGGGTCTGCTGTGAGTCAGTTCCCACTAGATGGCAAGGAAAGGAAGAGAAATATTCCTAAAAGAAAAAGACAGCGCATAGTTTCTGTGGAAACCTCAAGGCAGTCAAATGAGTAGGTGTTAGGCTTAAGAAACAAACTCTTTTAAGTTCAGTAGTCAAACAAAAGTCAACCAATATCCTATATGTAGATCGTCTATAAAACATACTGCCTGGTATCCATAGTAAACTGAACAGGAGGCTGGTAAACAATGCGATTCTGAATTTTGTTTGGAAGAAAAATTAAGGAGTATAAAAAGATGTTTAAAAAGTAACGAATGTGATGTTTGCACTAAAAATTATAGTATACTTTAAATTATAACATGCCATAATATCAAAGCTATATATCAAGTTTAAAAATATGGGCAGGATTAAAGAGATAGTTGAGTAATAGAGTGGAACTAAACCATGGTTTTGTAAGTTGCTTTGTGGGAGAAAGATCTTCTGTGTCATTTACTGTCTCTGAAAACCTACTTTAGGCTCGGCTGTAAGTTGATTTCAATTCGATGGCACATAACAACAGCAAAAACTAATATATGACAGAATCATAGGAACAGAGAGTGGCTAAGAAAACACTCTTAAGTCCTTAGACCGTTTGGACCTGAAGTAAGCTGTCTTAAAATACCAACTACACAGGACTTCTATGATAGTCAAAAGAAAGAAAAGGAACTTTATATAGTGTCCAGTCTCTGTAAAGAGTCACTAAATATTACTTCAAGTTACCACAGTTGTATTGAGATCAAGAGGTAATATTCAACTTTGTTAATTTCTTACTCTACATGGTAAGACTTAATTTTATGGGAAAATTATATTTTTAAAAGGTAAACTAAAGGAATTCTAAGACTATATCATTAACTCAACAGTTCAAATCATTGCCTTCATGTCAGAATAGACTCATAGTTGACTTTTGTAGTGGGTTTTCAGGAGCTGTAAATCCCATGAGAGAAGATTCCCTATCTTTCTCCGGTGGACAAACGACTATATAGAAACTGACATACATACTTTCAATCCTTCTATCTGTATTTGAATCCTATTTCTGTCATATATGGGCTCTCTGGCTCTAATCCCTGTTTCTTTAGCTTGTATTTGTTGGAGTTATTGTAAATATCAGCACTTTCCTTATGATAGAAGCTCATTCTTTCTCTCTCTAATCCATTTCATTTTTAATTTTATCTTTTATATCATCATGGCTTGCTTAAACAGTACACTCCTGCCTTTTGGATTTAATTTTCAATTTAGGACTGAAACTCGGTAGGAAGTAACCCTGACTCTAATCCTTCTCGATATTCTATATAACTTACTTTCGCCTTTGAGTTGTGGTGCTGGAGAAGAGTCTTGAGCATATCATGCATGGCCAACAGAACAAACAGATCTGTCCAGGAGAAGGTGAAACGAGGCTGTTCCTTTGAGGAGAGGATTTTGACACGCCGTCTCACATACTTTGGGCATGTTGCCAGGAGGGACCAGTCCTTAAAGAAAGACATCATGCTTGGAAGTATGGAGGGTCAGCCCAAGAAAGGAAGGCCCTGGATGAGATGGATTGACTCAATGGATTGACTTATGGGGTAGGGAGGCATGTCGGAGTCAGCGAGACTAGCTTAGGATAGAGCAGGGTTCAGAGCTATTGTACATAGGGTCGCGATGAGTAGTTGTCACCTCGACAGCACATAACAACAAGTGTAGATTTATATACACCGCTTATTTGCTGCTGTTGATGAGTCAAATATCACTCATAACAACCATATGAATGACAGATCTGATCTCTAAACTCTCCTGTGCCATCCTCTTTACCTCTGATACATTTGAGCCCATTGCTGCAGTTACTGTGTCATTCCATCTCATTGAGGGTCTTCCTCTCTTTTGCTCACCCTCCACCTCCACCTTTTGAGCACACTACTAGGGAAGGTTGTACTTCTCATTGCAAGACTCGTAAATATGGCTTGGGTTAAGATCAGCCTCCCTCTCTCTGCTTCTTACTTCTCTCCTCTCCTCTATTGACCTATAATAATGTAAATTACATACTTACCTCAAAGACCATATAATAAACAGACTGGATTCAATCAACTGGTCATAGTTTGTCAATTCCTGCTCTGAAGTATTATATACTAACTATATTAAGTTACTTTTAGAAAAAGGAATATACACTTATATAGCTTAAAAATTTTTTTAAAAATAGAAGACATCCTCTTACCTCTTTTCAATCACTTCATTCCACCAGCTGTCAAAGCCATTTCCTACAGGCTAGTTTGGTTTTTATGTTGATTGTTTTTTTAGGTGTTTTTTTTTTTTTCAGAGATACTGTGTCTTTCTACTATACATCATTAAAGGAACTCTCTGTAGTGCTTTCAAACCTGTAGATTTGTTTTTAAAGGATGAAATAAATGTACATGGGCTTCCATGCTTTTTGCATCTTCTAGAAATGACAAATGATCCGTAGACAAATCCCTCATAACGTGCTGACGAGGATGAGAAGAGATCTAAACTTTCAGATGTCATTTCATACAGCCATATTTGGGACAGGACAGGAGAAAGAGGGGTACTCAGAATGTAGGGAAACTATGGAATTATCTGAAGCAAGACTCTGAATGTGAACACCTGGTTCTCCATTGTATCAGAAACTATGCCTTGCAATCTTTACATAAAGTCCATTCTTGCTCAATTTAACTAGATAATTTATTGCCTTATGTAATGTCTCTCTTAAAATAATGAGTCCCTAAAGAGGAAGAATTTCCCCATTGACTCTTCAACTAAGTCTGATGGAAATATTTGGGGGAAATGTCCTGGATTCATCAAATATGAAAAAAAATAAAGGAGAAATGTTTCATGTGATGATCCCAGCCTGCTCTT